GAAGGTGAAGAGGGCTGTTGGAGTGAGATGTTCTCATTTGAACGAGGACTAGAACACAGCATGGGTGTCTGATTGTGAGACCAGAAGCCTCACTGGCAGCCCCAAGAGAGAGAAGAGTCAGGGAGTGGAGAAGACAAGGCAGGCAGGATCCTAAGGAGGTGATAAAGGAGGTAGCCCAGGCAGTGGCCCTAGACTTTGGTGATCAGAAGGACATCGGTGCTTTTGGAAGAGCCGTGTCAGTAGAGGGTGGGGGCCAGGCCAGCCAGTGGGTTACCCTGTAGTGGTGCTGGGTGGAAATGGAGAGACAGGAGGCAGTGGTCGGGATGCAATGGTTTTGGTTTCGGGAAGACCTGGGAAAACTTAGCACATCAGCTCACTAAGGAGAATGAAGACAGGAGAGAAGATGTTGGTGCTCTTGGAGGAGGAAGGCAGGAAATCTGATGATGGCTTCAGCCCTCCTGGGGAAGGAGGAGATGGCGTGTCCTGCCCAGAGAAAGGGGAGGGGAGACAGAGGCTACTGGCTCATGGAGGGCAAGTCCGGGAGCAGCTGCTAGAAGAAAACACTGGGAAGAAGAAACTGATGATTTCCCAGTCCCTGGGGACAAGAAGTGGAGCCAGTGACATGGTTTTGAGAGTCCCCAGTAATTCCCAAGCTTTGGAGGACAAGTAGACAGCCAATCGGGGTTAGATGTTGGAGACCCCTATAAGCGGGTGCAACTCAAAGTTGAGGGGCTGGGATGCAGACAGATGAGATGCAGCTGGTGCTGCAAGATTTCTTCCTGTGTTTCCAGTGAACTGAGAGAACGGACAGGCTCTGCTCAGCTGGGAATGGTAACCTGATCACTGCGGATGTTCATTAATGATTTTGAAAGACTACAGTCAGTGAGCTGGACACTTTGACAGTATCTACCTGCACTTCTCAGATAAACAGCCCCACAACAGCCATGGCCGAAGAATGAGCAAGAACCATACTGACTTTAACCCCAGGGCCTAGTGGCCATCAACCAATGACATCAGGGCCAGCACCTGCAGAACGTCTCTGGGACTCTGCCTCGGTGCCAGCAAGGAGTAGTCACCCCTGAAATTACTGTACGACCCGTGGGTCAGAAGTATCTTCTGCTCTTTCTCCTGCCATCAAGGAATCTCTGTCCTTCAGGGGTGACTGTAGATTTGATGTCATAGAAGTATAGACAATACCAGGCTCACTTCAGACCCGTGGACCCCTTCCTCCAGCCCAAGGAGATGGGGGAGGGTGTTTTGTGAGGCTGCACCTGACAGAGACAAAGGTTGTCGCTTTGTCCATTTAATAGCTTTTAATCCCTTACAAATTATTAGAGTTTTTCCTGAATAACCTATTAGAGGTCATACAAATCATACGTTGAATGAACAATGTGAAGATTCTGTCCTATGAGGCCAGTTATGCCATCTGTGTCATAAAGCTCTCTCCTTTTCATTTCAGAGTGACAGTTCCAGGTGAGTTTTTCTGCGATCATCAGTTCTCTCCTTCACGGTGACAGATCTTGATTATTTCTGCTGTTTCAATGATGAAGCCTTCCAGGGTTTCGCACTCGCTTCTGTACTGAAGCTGCTTCCCCACCTTGGCGTTTTTTTTCCCCACACCCAGGATGGGAGAAGCTCCATCCACTTTTTCTCCTGCCCAAGTTCACTTTTAAAGCATAGCTGTCCCCAGGCCCTGTGTGTGGTTCCCAGGCTCCCCTGATGAAACAGGCGTGATTGCAGAAGCTCACGTCTGGTTGTTAAGACAGACAGAGGGACAAGGAAGTTACACAGAAAGGCCTGAGGAACCATCTCAGGGATGGAGGGTGGAGTAAGGGAGAGCCTGAGAGAGGCGAGAGGGCCAGGACAGTTCACCGGTTGGAAATGGGACACGAGCACAGCCACAGAGCCCTGTGAGCACCAGTGTGGTCCGAGGGGGTGCTCACCCGGCAGCCCTCGCCCTTCCTTGCTGTCAGAGCATAGACATGAGGCTCAATGCTGGCCATTGGCACCCGGGGAAGTCTATGAGGAGCATGTGGGAGAGTTTTCCTCTCTCTTAAAAAGACATGCATAGGAAGGAACATGCTCATCTGTTCTAGATGTGCTCTGCCCGCGTGTGTGACTTCTGCACAGCTGTGGCCCTTTTTGTAACATAAGGGGGACACAGCCAAAAGATGGAAAGTATCTGGGTCCTCGATGGCATCTTTAGCCACTGAAGCAACCCTTGATCCTCTCTGCCCCCAAACCCCTGATATGAGACGATAAATATCTCAATTGTTTAAGGCACGTTTAAAAAAATTAGACTTTATTTTTAAAGCAGTTTTAGGTTCACAGAGAAATTAGGCAGAAAGTACAGGGAGTTCCCGTATCACTCCTGTCCCACATGTGCACAGCCTTCCCCGTTCTCAACATCCCCCATCAGAATGGGGCATTTGTTACAGTAGATGAGCCTACACTGACACTAATCACCCCAAGTCCACAGTTTACATCAGGGTTCACTCTTGGGGTTGCACATTCTATGGGTTTGGACAAATGTACAATGACATGTACCCACCATTATAGTCTCACACAGAGCAGTTTCACTGCCCTAAAAATCCTCTGTGCTCAACCTATTCACCCCTCCCTCCCCCAACCCCTGGCAAACACTGGTCTTTTTACTGTCTCCATAGTTTTGCCTTTTCCAGAATATTAGATAGTTGGAAACCACACAGTATGTAGCCTTTTCAAATTGGCTTCTTTCTCTTAGAAATATGCATTTAAATTTCCTCCATATCTTTTCATCATCAAGCCACTTTTAAATACCATTTTATTAAGGTATAATTGACATACCACAAACTGCACATGTTTAACATGTATATGTTTTGACATATGTGTACACCCATGAAGCAATCATCACAGTCCAGACAGTGAGCACATCCATCACCCCTGAAGTCCCTGGTGCCCCGGTGGTCCCTTCCTCCTGCCCTCCCCACTCCACCCCCTCCCAGCTCACCCTGATCTGCTTTCTGTCACTACAGATTAGTTTGCATTTTCCAGATATTTATAAATAAAACCATGCAGTATGTCGTCATCTTCTTCTATTCTTCTTGATTGGACTTTCTTCATACACTGGAATTATTTTGAGATTTGTTCATGTTGGTACACACATCAATAGTTCATTTCTTTTTATTGCTGAGTAGTATTCCGTTGTATGAATACACTACAATTTGTTTATTTATAAACCTGTTGATGAAGATTTGGGTTGTTTGCACTTTGGGTTTATTAAAACTAAAACTTCTATGAGCATTTGAATCTAAGTGTCTGTATGGGCAAATGCTTTCATTGCTTTTGGGGAAGTATCTAGGAGTGGAAGGGCTGCGTCCTATGATAGCTGTGTGTGTAAGTTTGAAGAAGTGGCCAAAGTTTTCTAAAGTGTTTGTACCATTTATGTTCCCCCCAGTAGCTGTAGTCCCAGTCTCAACTGGGGATAAACATAAACTTATAAACTAACTGTGTCTTCTTCTATCCTCTTTTTGATCTGGCTTTGTTCACGCACTATAATAATTTTGAGATTTATCCATGTTGTTGCATGTATCAATCGTTCATTTGTTTTTATTACTGAGTGGTATTCCATTGTATAAATATACTACAATTTGTTTAATTCATAAATCTGTTGATGGACATTTGGGATCTGCATTGATTTCCTATCAATACTATAGCCAATTGCCACAAACGTGGCTTAAAACAACACAAATTTATCACCTTACAGTTCTGGGGGTCAGAAGTCTGAAATGGGTCTTCCAGGGCCAAAATGAAGGTGTCCAAGGGGCTGTTTTTCTTTCTGGGGGCTCTAGGGAAGAATCTATGGTCTAGCTTTTTGCAGCTTCTAGAGGCCACCGTCATTCCTTGGCTGGTGTCCTCCTTCCACCTTCAAAGCCTGTGATGGCATCACTCCCACCTCTGCTTTCATCATCGCTTCTGCTTCTCTGAGAGGACCCTCCTGCCCTCCTCTTGTAAGGACCCCTGTGATTATATTGGGCCCACATGGTATCCTGACCCAGGATGACCTCCTATTCTCAAAATCCTTCAATCAT